TTTGAAGAAAAATAATTTGTGCGAATGAGTAACAAATTTATACTTGAATCATTATATATATGCAAACATTAAAAACGTCATGCATAAAACGAAACACTTAAAGTGGGAGGGTCGTCACCTGCGCATGCGTGGGAATTGAGTCCCGAGCGACGATAACAACACACGCTAAAAACTCAAAGGCTCATGGGTAGACGCTTGTTTGTAAACAATGACACGCTATGGCCATCTGACGCATGCGCACGTGACGACTCCCCCGCTTTAAATGCCGGAATATGACGTGTGTTCAAACTAAACAGCAGATTGTCCTGTAGGTAGTTATTCTGCATCAGTGTTTATAATGTAACCAGAGAATGTTGCATATCTGTTCCCCTCGTTACTGTATAAAGCATAGTCTTCGCGTAGTCTAACCCATATTTCATCTCCCAGATATAACTCTATGATGATACTATTTGTAGCTGCTCCTGTTCGGGAGAAGGCACATGTCAGCTGAATCTGGTTTCTCATAAAGCATACATGAAGATTGCTGTCCGATGTCTGTTTGAGAGCTGACATGGTAAAAAAATACACGCCATTAGAGGGACATGTAAAGACGCCGGTGCTGTCATTGTAATGACCCCCAATATTTGTGTAGATCTTATCATACGTTACTGCTTGGTAATTTGATAATGGACCCATTCTCGATGTACGTGCAACTGAAAATGCAACTCTTGAAGTGGTCTGTATAGGACGTTGATCACCTGCATTACCTTTATCACCCTTGTCTCCTTTCACACCAGGTTTGCCACTTGGCCCAATCTTTCCCGGGGTTCCGTGTGCGCCAGAATCTCCTTTCTTTCCCTGCTGAATTGGTTCAGGTATACCAGGTGTTCCGTTGCTGTCACTATCACCTTTCTGTCCTGTCTCTCCTCGATCTCCTCTCGGACCTTGTAACCCTGGATTCCCAGGTATACCTTGACAATAAAATACATATGAATGTAGTTGTGTAAATACAATGATATGATATGATATGACACACTGAACGTAATATGATGTAAATTCCACTTGTACCTGGTGCACCTGGGATACCTGGAATTCCATAACAACGATATTTGACGTCCCAAGCGTGATCTTGTCCAGCGTTATTTTCTTCTTTGGTGAATATTTTAGGAATGAGCAACATGATTAGTAGGATAATATTTTTACATGAGTGGTCGACGTACCATTCTTCAAGTTTAATTTCATTGTCGATCCTATAAGTGGAACAGAGTTACAATAACACTGGTTATTGGACAGAACCTTACAAATCTGTCATGTATGGTATGGTATAGTCAAATGAATCCAAAATTCAAGGCTGAACTTAAATGGCGTTCAGCATACGTAGTAATCAACAATTTTCGATGTCAATATTCCCGATGATCATTTATTGCTCGTAGTGCAACATCATAATATACAAGTTGTGAGTGATTCAATGTCAGAATACAATAATTTTAATTTCGTTAAATTAATAACCATAATATTATTTATGATGTGTTTAATATGCACACTTTCTTTCTACAAGTTTAGGTCAAAAATTACATAAACCTTGGCTTTTCGTTGTTTAATAATAGTTTAATACAAGAACTGAAATTCATTAGGTTAATAATGATTATTATACAGCCCGGAATAATCTTCACTATCAATGAGAATTTTAAAACAGTTAACGTAAAACAATTAAGGTATATTATTGACAATTATTGCTGTTAAATAAAAACTGTACCTCCATAACTTACCACGATGTGTGATTTTTAGTGGTCATGAAAAGCCTGGGTTCATGATCATTTTTATTTAAAACCTGATCTGGAATTATATAAAAGGAATAATGCCATCAAGTTTGAGTATGCATGTTTGAGTTATTATTTAACAGTTACAGGATCTATGATTATATTTTGTATCTCTTATTAGCTACATAATAATTACTGCTTAAACAGTAGATTATCTCTTTGTACTAATGATAAAATAGTTGTCCCATCTTGTAAGCAATGTTGTTATTGTTTTAAGCTGTGACAACCACCACCCCTAAATGATTATCATGACAGTCTGGGCTGGACAAACCCAACCCTCTAGTCTTGCTCGCACCAGACTGGGATACCTAATCGGCATACAACACTTCAAATGAAATTCTTATACCAAAACTAATAATAAATAAAGACTCTTCATGGTTTACAGATTATTTTGGAGACGTCTTAAAGCTAAGAAAAACATGGCTATCCTACGAGTTTTAATGACGAAAGGTTTATTCCGCAGAAAAACACAAATGTCTGTAAGAATGTTTCTTTCTGAAACCAAACTGATTGTCAGGTAAGTAAATATACTCTTCACATTTAGCAATTAGCAATATGTTCTAGAACAGTAATGGCAATTGAGCGATAATTTGTTTTGGCTTACGTCGTAAGTAGCAGATGAAGTAAAATGTCATTTTTTTGTTCCATGGACCAGAATTGCAGAAAACATAGACAAGTACAAAGAGAAACACAACTGGCAAGTGTTCAGTACTGCGTGTGATCGTGCCACTCGACTTCTCAAAATATATGTTACGTACGCAATTCGAAACGGCTGCAGAAATTTAGAAGAGGCGCAGTTGCTGAATTATTGCCCTGAACTTCATAATGATAAGCCCCCAAAATTAGCAACTTCCACAGTGGGTGAAAACAGTGTTACCCGTGATATTGTTGCATTTGTCCAAAAGTTACGGTCCGTAATGTTTTTGTTGTACAGATTTTACAAGAATATGAGCCTGGTACTTTCAATGTGTTAGAAGTGTTAGTTTAAGTCAGGCTCTGGAAGTAACAATGTCGTACCAGCCAGGTACGCCACGAACTCGAGTTATCATATCATTGTGTCCAGTATTGGCAGTTACAATTTAAATCACTAATTAGAATAAGAATGCGTTTCAAATGCTGATCAGTACGTTCATGGTTAAGGATTATAATATATGTCTATAAGTTGTATTGTTAAGTATACAAATATTGAATTATATATAAAAAAAACGCTGTGTATATTTCACATCGTTGTCTTGCTTCAAGTACAGGGAGTCATTTAATCTTGTAATTTATGAATAAAATGTGAGCTTACGAATATTAAATAATGCAATCCAGGAAAAGAACGTGTAAATTAATCACGACAAGACACATGTAACAATTATGTCATACAATAATTCACTACTTACTATTGATCAAATATTCGTTCTTGTGACTGGTGAATGGACGACGAAAAAAAGAAGGCGACAACTGAATGATTTCCAAACATGTTTTAATGTTAAATACCAACAGTCAGGGTTTATCACGACATCATGTGGATTAATTTTCATCTCTTGTTTCGCGATAAGTTTAAGAATTTATGTGCGTGACAAAGTATCTCTTCGCTGGGTTTCATTTTTGCTTGTTTCAATGACCTATTGAATATTCAAATTTAGCATTAGAATATAGTGTTTTATTTACAGATCAGTGAATTTAAAACCTAGTGAATACATCTGAAACTTCAACTGTCGACATTCCCCAATATTTTCTTCTTTAGGGGGAACGCTGTATATATATTATAACTTCAGTACGTGCCAGAATCTTAGCCAAGCACTACATTAACAACCACAAATTTGATTTTTATATTTACTCTAAGTGTTTTGACAAATCGTCAGCAGAAATGGTGAAAGGTTTTTTTTGGAGGTCCCATAAAATGAAGTGCGGACGTGTTTTAATTGATATATATTTCATTCGTATGTCATCGCCATTATTTATGTGGCTGTTTATCATCGCGATATAGAAATATGATCTGACACATTTTTTGTCCATAAGATGCTAGGTCCAGATGACTGATAATATTATGTATTAATATCGGTATGTCTTTAAATCCTGTTTTTCTCAAAAGTATTAATTTATCTGAAGAACGGAAACGAAGGTTAATCTCATCAAGTGTCTCCAATGCTTTCACGTAAATGCAAGTAGGTCGATTAGTCGCTAATCTATGTATATATACGAATGCATGCATAAAGACCAACTTGATTGATTTATATTATGGACAATAATCACATTGATCATGATGTGCTTCTCTCTAAAAGTCGTAAAGTTTGGCATGATTGTATCAAAAGAACAATGTCCCTAGGAGATAATGGAACATTGGAAAAGGCTATATATAGATAATTTTAGTAGACTAGATATTTGCCGTAAACATGCTTCAAATAATTAGTTTTAAAAAAGGTGAAATATTAGCTGAATTTGTATTCGAGAAAAAAAACATGGCATGCAAATGAAATATATTACATATTTCTATAAAATTTACACAAAAAGTGTGTCAAGAGAAATAAATAAAAGAAATAAATAAAAGTGCATGTAAAAAAAGGGATGGCACAAAAAATAAAAATTGGCCGAGTACCGGTAACAAAATCTTGAAAAAAGATGTGCATCAGTAAGATGCCATGTGTGATGACAATGCCAAGTTTGAATCCAATTGACTCAGGCACATCGAAGATTGTTGATCAGGATACAGAGCGTTTTTATTTCGTTCATACAAATCATCCAAAAATGTTAAGATTTGTTTAATTTTGGTCGTTTTTCTTTTTTACATGTAAACGAACCAAGCAAAACAATTCTGGATCTGCCCAGTAATGACAAGTTTGGGGGGATGACAGTCAGTTGGTAAACATAATCAATGTGCATATGTATGTCATTATTTGCAAGTCTTTGTATCAACAATTTCAGTAAATGAATGTCAATGAATCGGTAAAGAACATCTGAAAATAAAACATAGCCATGGGTCAGCCATTTTCAATCCATATATAAAACAAGCAATAAGAATGCAGTCCCAGTTCTGTATTTAAGTCCATCACCAGCACAGTGATCCAGGAGAGTTTGTGTATTGGTGATACAATAGGGATTTCCCACGATGTACTGAAGGGGCCAAGCATATATGGTTGAATCGCGAGAATAGTATATGTAAATACTGAGTCTAAAAAAAATTCGAAATGACAAGTATGAACCTTTTTCAAAACATGCATGGTTAAACTAAACAAAGAGAAAAAAGTGATGTGATGACCAGAACGTTGAAGATGTAACTGAAATTTAATCACCGTTTAGTGAAGAACAGACAACAAAATGGCCACTTGTCAACCATTTTGAATGTATGTGCAAAATATGGTGCATCAGAGTTCCATAATACCGGTATTCAAAATACATGATCAATATATACCAAGTTTAATGAATGACTGCAATTCGGTTCCGGAATGGCAGATGTACTTAATTTTGATGAAATTTAGCACTAAAATGGCAACTATTCAACCATCTTGAATTGTTGAATAAATGTACATGCTTGTGACACCGTGTGTGATGTATGTGTAAAATTTTAACATGACTGATTCATAAATGTTGAGATATACATACATCAATGCACA